AAGTTACAGGTGGAACGTGGGTGTTACTACCTGCATTGCAGCAAGAAACTGTGTAGAAAATAATTGCTGCTGAGGCAAAAAAGAAGAGATATCCTCATCCTAAACGGGTATGTGCCATAAAAGTTAGGTAAACCTTCTACTCATCATTGGTCTAGTATGAATAAATAAAGGAACAGCTAGCACTACAGATGGATATGAAGTGACGGCAGCAAGTCATAAAAGGCTTACACCAATGACGACGTGCCCGTAAATCTATGCGAGGCCCGAACACTTAGTTTCAGAGCCAAGTTCTGTCTCTGTAGTTTCGTTTTCCGTGCTGTCTCTGTGTCTGCGGTGGGACCCGGAGCTTTTCGCACTCAGAATCAACATAGAAACAGTCTAACATTCCCCACGTCTAGCGATATAAATGCAAGCTATAAAAAAACATTCATCAGCTCACTGAACCCTGAAAAACCACCTAGACGCAACTACATTAATCTTCATAGTCGTCCGGTCTCGCTGTTTCAAGCGTTGAGTGGCTTAGTGCCACTCACCAATGTTTTTGTTTATAACGTTGCCATATGCTTTATATGAAACTTAGGCCACTGATTGCGCTGTCTACTGGCGCAGAGATGCCAAACAAACTGTTATGCACAGTGCTTTTTAAATGCGTGTAGCTGTAGAGTGATATAGGATACGTGTTCTATGATAGGCAATTGTGTATCGCCGGCAGAGGTTGCTGTTGAAGACTCAAAGGGGTCTCCTGGATCAAGCAGGTCGAGCTGCAGCTGCCACTGGCGTCCTAGAATGGGGAAACCACCCTTGGCATTCTCCCCCATTTTTTTCTTTTTTCTCATCAATAAAAAATGTTGTATCATCTTCATCATCATCATCATCATCATTATTGCAGAACAGTGGGGAGTTTTACTAACCGCACTTTTGTTAGAGAAAAACGAAGGTTATTATCATAAAAAATGTTCTGCTTGTGAAATTTTCAGAGAGTTAACGTGAGTGGTGATGACAAGAACAAGGAGAGAATCTATACATGTACAATGCAGCAGATGATAACAATACCAACTCTACTTACTCCACTAATGCTGTAAATGCGAGCATTAAATAGAGTCCGCCAATCACAGCTGACATTGTGATCCTTCTTGCCGCACAAGTTCTCATGTTTGTGACAGAATATTGTGGTAAGGTGTAAAATAATATTCATCTGCTGAGACACAGATGGTTACGCCAGAATTACAAAGGCCCTCATACATTTTCTTGACAGACGTCGTGTTGCTTAAGAATTAGCAATCATTGAGTCGCTTAAAAATCGGTCAGCACGTTTCATTAATTCAAACTATACCCGTACATCTCTGCTACTTTACCTTAAGTCAACAAACCTGAGTGACCGCCTGTAGACTGTGTGTGCTCCCCGAGTGTGCTCGTGATTGTGTGTGCCTTCTCATCTTTCTGCAACCTCTTTTCTCCCCTTTATTCCTTCCCCAGTGCAGGGTAGCAAACCGGATGTGCGTCTGGTTAACCTCCCTGCCTTTCTTTGCAACTTTATCTCTCTCTCTATACCCACACATCTAGCGTTTCTCTAATAAAATCAAACCTTGGACTAATTGATTTGCAAATTCGAAGAAAAATTTCTCGTCTATGCCTTTTTCACAAAATCCTTTACTGAAATAATTCACTTAAACAGGAACTTATCTCGCAACCTTCATACATATCGTCACGTCTTGATCATCAGTATAAAGTTTTTATTCCTTTCTGCTGTACTAACGTATTTCAGACTCCTTTCTGCCAAAGACCAGTGCCGAGCGGAACCACCTTCCCCCCTCCATCGCCTCCATTAAGGACGTGTCATCCTTCAAGACTGCGCTAACCGATCATATCTTAAGCCTCTTATAACTGAATATTGTTTGAACATGTATTCTAATTATTTGGTTGTATTATTGTGTTCTGTTATTGCTGCATTTTTGTTATATTACCCCCCCCCCCCTCTGTAACGCCTTTATGGGCCCTGAGGGTAATGTAAATAAATAAATAAATAAATAAAAGCGAAGTCAGTCAAGAAAAAAAATATCTGTCTTCTAAATTACATGAGCTTTTCATACGGATACTTATTGCTATGTAGCTGACATATCAGCGGTCAGAAGATGACAACGAGGAAGTGGCCTGTGGGTTGCGTGTGCTGCCCTCCATCTTATACCCCTGTCACACGGCCACCACCAAACTCCGTTGAACGCCGTCAACGTAAAGCTTCCCTAGGGGGTTCGACGGAGAAGGAGTTGTGGTAGTGTCACACGGCAATGACAAGGTTGTAAAAGTCGCCGCGAGGGGGCTCAGCTGGCGCTCTTTGATTTTCGGGAAAGTATTCTCATTTAATGTCTATTGATTTTTTTTTGTAAATCCTCGTTATGTGGTTTTTACAAGAAGCACTATTAAGTAGGTGCGCGACTAACACATCGTTAAAAATAACTTCAAATAAAAACACATTTGCTAACTGTAGCGATGCTGCTAGTGACGCTGGCCACATTGTGCTTTTAGTTGTTTTGTTGCCCGTGAACACAGAGAAAGGTGCCCGTGTACATGCCCGGCACGAAAATTCTTGTGCTTCCTTGCTTCGTGAGCGCAAATTTTGTGTTCTTCAGCCATGAGTGACACAGCGGACGACGTGAGGAAGTGGTACGATATTGCGCTGGCAATGACGTTGATCGGCTCCATGGATATTGAGATTGAGGCTGCTAGAGCCCGTGTGCATGCTATAAGGCACCGTCTCGTCGCGAACAGCCTGACGCTGAATGCGATGGCGTTGTCATCGAGGCGTGCTTCAAGGTGAGTTTGGGCATATCCACGATTCTCTCGCTGGTTTGAAGACACGCTCCCAAACCTAGGCGGGCAGAACTTCCGGCAGTCATTCAGAGTTTCACGTACTACGTTCAAATATCTCGTAGACATATGTACGCCAGTAATGCAACGACAGACTACAAACATGCGGGAAGCGGTGTCTGTGCAAAAAAGGGTCGCTGTTGCTCTCTACAAGCTGTGTTCCTCTGCTGAAGATAGAACAGTCGCCAATTTGTTTGACCTGGGCAGGTCGACGGTGAACACGATACATAGAGAGTTTTGTGACATCGTCGTGGAAGCCCTAGAAGATCAGTGGGTCAGGATGCTTGCAGCTGATGAAATGACCCACCACATACGTGAATTTTATGCTGTCACTGGCTTCCCTCAGGCATTTGGAGCACTGGATGGCTGTCATTTCCCTGTCTCGCCTCCCAAAGAAAATGCCGTCGACTACTACAATTACAAGGGCTGGTAAGTTTGTACAACTTACATCAAAGTTGAAAGCTGGGCTGCTTGATACATTATTGTATACGAAAACTTGGTGAACACACAATGAACATAAAAATATCAGCCCATGGGTATAAACAGATAAACTCTTAAGTGAATAAAATATGAATTCGTTATTTAAAGCGACACTTGATAAAAAATCATATCAAATGTATGATGCCTGTTTTGGATTAGCTTTAGTACGCACTAAACAATATTTCAGATGTTAATCATCCTCTATATTACGGTGTCTCATTCTAGCACACAACTCAAGAACAGTTTTGTTTTAGCATGGCCACACATACATGCCACATCACGCCTCATATTGCATGTGTACACGGCATCGGCATGTTTCTATTACAATTGTATACAATGTGACTGTGAAGTTGTTTGTGCACTGTCATCTCCTTATTGTGATGGTAATATACCTGCAGGTACAGTGGGATCTTACTGGCTTTGGTGGACCACAAATACTGCTTTCAATACATCAACGTCGGTTCCCCAGGCAGGTGCCACGACGCCCATGTCTACCACAGTTCAAGCTTGCCAAGCATTGTGACAGGACCAACATTTAGGAGTCCTACAATTTCTGTACAGTTCTGCTGTGCCACCATTATTATTATGTGACCAAGCATTCCCGCTGACGCCCAATTTGATTAAGCCTTTCCCGGGTTCAAGTAAAACCTCTGCCGAAAAAGAATTCAATTACCAGCTGTCAAGGTCTAGGCGAATTGTGGAGAATGCCTTTGGAAGACTGAAGGCCCGCTTTGAATTTGTCATGAAGCGTATGGAGTGCGATGTGACGAATGTTGCTGTTATAATAAGAGCATGCTGTGTGCTGAACAACATTTGCGAACACTTCAATGACAGTGTATCCCAGCAATGGATAAATGAGGCAGACATGCAGAACGCACTGTACGAGCAACCACACCACACCACAGCCATGCAAGTTGGATGTGGCAGAGATGTTAGAGATGCACTCGTGCAATAGTTTCAGCAGCACAGAGACAGCTAGATTTAAGTTGAATTGGGTATGAAACAAAAAATAATTATTTGCTGTAAAAACAGACCAAGAAGCTTCAGCTTAAAACTCAGTAGGTTTACCAGTCTGCTTTGAAGGTGTCATTGAGCCTGCTGTATTGCTGTGTTTTTAAAAACATCCTGTGAGCTTCTTGGGATGTGCCTTGAAGTCTATATTGCTATCATTTGTGTGTGCACGAGCAGTTTCCTTTTTTTAAGTATCCATGCCGAATCTCTGTTGTGTAATCCCCTTTCCCCACCTAGTACCACACCTATGTATGTTTTATTTTCATTTTTGAAGTTTGTAAAAAATTTACAAGTGTGCATATTTCACACATTCTTTTCTTAAATTTGCACATTTTTATCTCCATTGTTCTGTTCCTTTTTGGACCTTGTAAAGTATGTTCACCGGGTCTGAAAAGCAAACGTTCGCTGTCATCTTTTGAAATTGGGAAGGACTGGAGATCATATTTTGAAAAGTTATGGCTTGTCGTAAATTGGGTATCATGTTTACTTTGGACTTTATGTTATAAATGTGTCTGTAATAATAAAAGCATGTTGTGCCCTTATTAATTGTCTGCAGTTCAACCAGTGAAGCACATAAGTATGTATACTACTCAAACAATAGGGGCCTGAAAGAAACAAATGCTTATTGAAGTAGTTAGAGAAACTTATTTATTGAAATATTTCGAAAACAGGTCCACAAGTTTTTCCTGTGTTGCCACCTGCCGTTCACGCAGACCCTGCTCAATTTGCGTGGCAGTCTCCAGTGCTGCAATAAGCTTCGCTTGCTGTTCAAGCAGCGCACTCTGAAAATTTTCATTGGCGGACATCCGCTTTCTCTTTTGTGCTCGACGCTTCCCATGTAGCTGGCTCGTGCTGGTGCCAGATTGGCTCGTGCTGGTGCTAGGCTGGGGTTCCTGCTGGAGGTCCGAGGCACTGCTGCAGGCATCTGTCACGGAGCAACCCTCAGTAGCCCCGTCTTCATCTGAGGACAGACTTGACCCAGTCTCCATGCCCCAAATAATCTGGAAGACAAAAATCTGTTAGTGCGTGCCACAACATCAAGCTGCTTTCAGCCTAATGTGGCATTTATGATGTTGCACATTCTTGAAGTAATGCAAGAATGAAGTATGCAAAAAAATGAACTAATCATATCGATTAGCCTCAGAAGGACGTACTCCAAGCTTTAGTTGCGACAAAAAGCTTGTTCTTTTGGGGGCACATTAGTGCAATAGTTTCATCCCATGCTGCTTTTTTATTGTTTCCATTGCTTGTAGATATCAAATGCCCTTGAGTGAAGTCTATAATGACAATTGACATTAGAATTTAGAGCTCAGTTTGGAGTGTCGCATTCTTAGGTTGCATTCTGCACTCACCAATTGGTCATGGCACCGAAAATTTTTAGTTGTTATCGTAACGGCATTACCTTATACAAATGATTTACATACCTCATCGACATTTCCCCTTGGTGAAGGGTAACTCTCTTGCACGAGAGAGCGGTCGTTTATGGGCAGTGTGCCCAGAAACCTGTGAAGTTCGACGAAAAACGGCCAGGCACTAGGTGCAGATTCGGTAGTTTTCTCCCGGGCTTCTTTCCTGATAACACAATTTACCATTAGAAAAGCAGTGATTTAATGTATAACCACATTCACTCTGAACTTGCTACATAACTTTCGGTTAATTTCCTAGCAGGTGAGTGCGCTGCATTATACATTCGCGTCAAGCTCCATGTCACGGTTAGCAACGTTTGTTTCTTATTTTCTTGTGTAGACGCGCAAGCCTGTGCTGTTGCATCATGCCAAAAATGAAAACGGTGAACAATGTATGCAAGGCAACCGCAAGCTATTTTTGATGTTTCAGAATGAAGGCCTAAATAAAGACTAGTAGCTCAGGCACGCAATTTTACTCAACCATGTAGCTCATTTCGTAGGTTGCTTACCAATGCTCACAAATACTGGGAGTCCTAAAAGATAAGATAGGATGCGTACGCAGGTAATAAGTTGAATACTTCGATGTTCATGGTGACCCAAATGCACGTTTTTTTTAGCCAGGTAATGCGCACGAGCTGCCTCATTCCTATAACAAAGCCTAACGATTGCCTCATTTCAGATAAACAAAGTTGAACGTTGAGTTGACACGCAGAAATAACGCAACGGCAGAATATCTACACAGAATTAGCCCCTCAAAATAACTCTTTGTAACGAAATGTGCTTCCTGCAATAGCACCAACTGGAAGTGCCAACAAAAACTTACACGGGTTAGCACATGACTACACACCAGCTGTTAGGAACACGCGTGCTTTTCTGCTGTATGCATTCAACAGTGTGCGAACTCACCTGTACTTCTGCGTGAGGTTGTCAATTTTGTTTTGCACTTGTCGGCGCGTCCTCGAAATACCCATCTTTGCAAGAGCGGCGACAATGGCGTCATACACTCTGGCGTTATGTTTTTCTCCTCGGAGCTCAGGAAGGTGGTCCTCCCAGATTATAATCAACACCCAAGTGTCGTTTTCGCTCCATGTTACTCATGGATTTGGTGGAGTCCCATTAATTGTTTCTGCAGCCGTCGAGGCAGGTGATGATGTTCCAGCGTTGTCAGTCATTTTTTTAAACGTCAACACGGCGACGACCACAACCACACACGTGCACGAAATACTTTTCAATGGCGCCGGCATGCGCGACTCCCGAGGCACGGTGTGTAGGGCATCGGTGTTGAGAGTAAGTGAACTCTGGCGGGCGTAAATATATATAAACAAACACGCGTTTTGAACGAGTACTGCAACGAAAAAACTTTTAATAATGCCAAAATGTATTATTCTTTCACTGGGGCCACTTTAGTACACGAAATTTTTCTCTGACCTCTAGACTGCTGGGAACGAGAGTACCTCGTTTCGCTGCGAAGGGAGATCGTTGAACGTCCCTCGCGAAATGCTTCGTTCACCTTCGTTTGCGTTAAGGGTGGCTGTGTGACACCAACCGCATTTTCGTTGTCCTAAAGACGAGGGAGTTAAACGGTCGTTACGGGTGCCCGTGCGACAGGGGTATTAGTCGATGCTCTACCCATCAGTTTCTATATACATTCTAGATAGACATGCCTCGTGTCACTTTTATGTAACATCTTTGTGGTAGAGGTGCGGAGTACTTCCCTGTCTTCATCACGAAGCTCCGCAACGGCCGCATCATCATACGTCCAACCATGTCACAGGTTGAACAACCATCGTCTTCACCACTTGCCCCTTCCGTGACTTCTACGTACGTCGTTCTATCTCCTGCTCGTGATCCCGGTGTATTTTCTGGTCAGGATGGCGTTGACGTCGACAAATGAATCAACCGGTACGAATGGGTCAGTGCAAGCTATGTAGACCCGACTCTTATGCTTGTCATGTGCTTTTTACCTCGATGGCCCACCGCGGGTGTGGATCGAGACGCACGAAGCGGAAATTACGCGCTGGAACTCCTTGAATGAGTACATCTGCGACCTTTTTGGCGACTCCGTTGGGCGGCAGGTTGCAGTACGGAATGAACTGGCGGCTCAAGCGCAGACGTCGACGAAGTCGTATGTCGCGTACATTCACGCCGTCGTCGCCCTATGCCCACAGATTGACAAGCATATGAGTGAGTTTGAGAAAGTGGCCCATGTGCTGAAAGGCATGGCAGACAACGCTGTAATCTTCTAGTATATAACAACGTCGCCACTGCCGATGCCATCATTAAAGAATGCCGGCGGTTCGAAGAAGCCAAGAGCCGCCGTATTACTCGGCGATTCACCCGGCTGCCCAACATGACCGCAACCTCATTGTGTGAAGCCGCCCGCCAGTCGCCCACGTATGACAATGTCACACGCATTTTTCGTCGGAAAATCAAAGCCACTTGTCCAGCTCCTCTTCAGCCAACCGTTTTCGCAACGCTCGCCTCTGACCAACAACAGTCGTCAGGGGCATTAATACAAGCTGTGGTGAGGCAGGCGTTTGCGAACCTCGGCCTTCCATCAACATGTCCCTTGACTCGCCCTGAAGTCCCGTTTTACTCCCCAGGACAAGCTCGCCGTTTACCTCCAACAATGCTCTTCCGTAACCCTTCTGAATGGAGAGCACCCGATGACCGGCCTATTTATTTTTCCTGCCACAAGCCCGGCCACGTTTCTCGCTATTGCCGCCGCCGTTGGTCTACCAACCACGTCAGACCTTCTCTACCTCTGCGCACATGAACCCGGCGAGCCCTTGACGTTCAGTCGCCACACCCTTCAATTTCTATTCGTCGTCATCTTACGAGCCTTCCACTGACGCCCCTTTGCCCGGTCGCCGCGACACTGACGCCCCTTCGTCGGATCACCGCAGCTCCCGCTCCCCGTCCCTGCTACGTCGCCAATCACGCTCTCCGCCGCCTCGGCGCTTTTCCTCGCCGAGCTTCTCTGGATGATCACAGCCGAAAAATCAATATTGCAGCTTATAGAGGTGAAACTTGAATACCAATGACGGCCGAAAATTGTCTACTGACGCTCCCCACGCACCACAGCCTGCTTGAAGTACAAGTCGACCATGTTCCTGTAATCGCCCTCATTCACACAGGTGTGCACCTGTCTATTACGAGCGCTTCTCTACGCCGACGGTTGCAAAAGATTATGACGCCGTCTACGACGCAGGCAATACGTGTTGCCGATGGCGGTACTGTACCAGTAATCGGAATGTGCACTGCTCGTGTCAGCATTGCCAGTCGTCACGCCGAGGTCCTTTTTGCCGTGCTAGCCTGTTGCCCTCATGACCTCACACTTGGCCTTGATTTCCTTTCGGCACACTCGGCTTTAATTGACTGTTCGTCTGGCACCCTCAACCTCAATCTTCCAATCTTTGCCGACTGCTCTTCAAAGCCGACCAGCCGCTTGAGCCCAACCACTTTCGTTCGACTGCCGCGTCGAGCCGTCACGTACGTGTGTTTGTCATCGGCCCCTCCCGTTCCTGATGGGGATTATGTCCTTACATCGATTACTGACATTCGGCTGACGCGCAGTGTTGCTGTGCCCCATACCATCGCGACCATAGGGGATAAATGTGCGCTCCTTCCGCTCCTTAACTTTGGTTTCACCCCTAGAGTATTGCCCTGCTAGATGTCTCTAGCTCAGCAAACTGCCATAACAGAGGACGATGTCACTGTTGTCGCTTTATCTGCTCCTTATCGAAGTGCAGTCTCACGGTTACCCAGCTAAGGCGATGCTTTCTTTCGAAACATGATTGGATCAGAGCTTTCGCCTCACCAGACCAACGCTTTCTGCCAGGTTTTGACCTCATACAGTGACATTTTTGACACCGATGATCGTCCCTTGGGCCAGGCTAAAATTGTCACTCACCGAATCAACACTGGTGACTTTGCACCCATTCACCGTCGGACCTGTCAGCGCCGATTCACCGTGTCAGCATCCGAGCGAAAAGTTATTCGGAAAGAAGTGGCCAAAATGCTTACGAAAAACGTAATCGAACCATCATCGAGCCCTAGGGCATCTCCCATGGTATTAGTAAAAAAGGAAGACGGCTCATGGCGTTTCAGCGTCAATTATCGCAACCTCAACAAAATTACAATAAAAGACGTGTACCCTCTTCCACGCATTGACGATGCCCTCGACAGCCTCCATGGCGCCACCTTCTTTTCATCTCTCGACCTCCGATCTGGGTACTGGCCAATTGCTGTAGATGGCATGGGCCGAAAGAAGACTGCCTTCGTTACCTCTCACGGTCTTTACCAATTTAAGGTCATGCCCTTCGGTCTCTGCAACGCTCCAGCGACCTTCGAGAGAATGATGGACACGCTCCCACAAGGATTTAAATGGTCGATATGTTTGTGTTACCTGGACGGCGTTATCATTTTCTCACCTACCTTCGCAACCAACCTTGAACGCATTTCGACTATATTTTAATCATTTTTCGACTGGCCGGCCTCCAGCTCGATTCCTCCAAGTTGCACTTCAGTCTTCGTCAGATTACCGTGATGGGTCACCTTGTTGACGCTGCCGGCGTACGACCAGACACGGCGAAAGTACGCGCTGTAACAAACTTCGCAGTCACACACTCTGTCCATGATGTTCGCAGTTTCGTGGGCCTCTGCTCCTACTTTCGCCGTTTCGTGAAAAACTTTGCGGCACTCGTACGGCCACTCACCGACCTTTTCAAACAAGATGTCCGATTTTGTTGGGGCCCTCTTCAAGCTGATGCCTTCTCTTAGCTAATCACCGCTCTAACGACACCTCCTATTATTGCACATTTTGGCCCCCGATGCAGAAGTGCGAACAGACGCGAGTGGTCATGGAAGTGGTGCAGTTCTGGTGCGAATTCAGCGGGGCAACGACCGTGCATTGCTTATGCAAGCCATCTGCTTTCAGAGTCTGAACGCAATTACTCTATAACATAACGGGAATGTCTCACCCTTGTCTGGGCGGTTTCCAAATTCCGTCGTTACTTGTATGGCCGCCCTTTCCGTGTCATCACAGATCATCACGCGCTGTGTTGGCTTTCTTCTTTGAGGAACTTCTTTGGACGACTTGGCCGTTGGGCAGCACACCTACAGGAGTATTCCTACCCGGTTGCTTATAAGTCTGGACGTCTCCATCTGGACGCCGATTGCTTATCCCGCTACCCTGTTGATCAGCCCGACGAATCAGACATCGACCCTGGCCTCAGCGTCATGTCAATGTCCCAGTTTCTTCAGATTGGTGATGAACAACGTCGTGATGCTTCCCTGCGACAACTTATTGACCGTCTCGAATCTGCTCCGAACGACGCGTCGCTTCGCATGTACGCCCTTCTGAACGGCACGCTGTACCGTCGTAGCCTCCAGCCAGATGGCCCTGAGCTCCTTCTTGTCGTGCCGAAACATTTGCGTTCAACCGTGCTGCACGAGCTTCACAATGAACCAACTGCTGGTCATCTGGGTGTATCTCGGGCGTACAACCGTGTGCGTCGCCGCTTATTTTGATGCGGTCTCGCCAGGTCCGTTCGTCGTTACGTGTCCTCCTGCGATAAATGCCAACGTAGAAAGTGACCTACTGCGCCCCCAGCTGGACTTTTTCAACCGATATCCATCCCAACCGAATCTTTCTTCCGTGTTGGTATAGATCTTCTCGGTCCTTTTCCTGGGTCGAAATCGGGCAACAAGTGGGTCGCCGCTGCTATAGACTACGCGATTTGATATGCCATGATTCGAGCGCTCCGCGCCAGCACCGCTACTGACGTTGCGGACTTTTTGCTCCACGATGTCATCCTACACCATGGCACTTCTCGCCAATTACTCACGGATCGTGGCCACGCATTTTTGTCCCGAGTAACCGACGATCTTCTGCGCTCTTCCTCGACGCAGCACAAGTTGACCACTTCCTACCATCCCCAAACAAATGGCCTTACCGAATGCCTAAATC